AAAATCGCGAAATCGCGACGTTGCTTGTTCTCCTCGATACATTGTTAGCGCAAAGCTTGCCAGGTCTGGCAAATAACCGGTTTTAAAATTCGATCAAAAATTCTGCATTCGCTGTTATTTCCTTCGTTCGTCTAGTTTCGTGTAAATTCTTATATAAATAAAATTTGAGAAATCGATTCATTCGATGATATAAGAATTTACGCAAAGTCAGACGGGCGCAAGAGACGAATGTAGAAATTTTAATTAAATTTCGAAACCGGTCGATCGACCGGATCCGCTACGACGGTCACTGTTAACTCACTGGCAACTTTATTACCCGGTTTTGATCTGTTAAATCGCGGCTAAAAAATCTTCGACGACGCGATTCGGATAACGTTATCGTAAAGAAATGCGCATCTACTGTATCGGCACTCGACGACAAAACCATCCAACAGTTTCGTCGGTACAAATATATCAGCGAAGCGTAAATGCCGACAAGCCTAACGACCCATCGATATCCCTGCGGTCCTTTCGCCGAATATTTGGAAGACGGCGTACGTGGCAACGGTTGCTAACGAACGCATGTGTAGTGGGCATATCGAGGGGCGACAAAAAGAAACGAATCGGATGGAGAAAAACAGTTGAGTTGTGAGAATCGTCAGTTGGAACGGAGAGTGGTACGTAAACAGTCGAAAGCGAGAACTGTTAATAAATATACTGCTAAACACCGCCGAGTATTTCTTTGGCACCCTACGCGTCCTACACCAATTCACCTCGCTAAGATATAACATCCCGTAAAAATGAAACGTTACGATCGGAAATTCGATATACTTTGGTCTACTGCTGCGTTAGATACGTACCAACTACGTACGTGCTAAGAATAATCTAAATCGTATAATATAAGAATCTAGCGGAAGTAGAAGCTGAAAAAGGTCTTCGCTGTAACAGGCTCTGGGACTAAACCACGAACGAAGCGAAGAAAATAAAAAAGATTTCGGTCCATCGTGGCTCCCAACGTGACAACGTATTGAACCATGAAAGAGAGTTCCAGACCGCGTATTTTTATTCAAATTCCTACTTCCGAGAATACGATTTACAGAACGGCACCTCGATAGAAAATCGCTTTAACGCTGCTACTACTTTGAATATTTCTCATATTCGTTCGCGTTACGCTGCGTTTTGCGTCATTTTCCTCGCGAATCGACACAAATCCGTAATTCGTTCATTTTACTTAATTCGACCGGCATTTTGAAAGTCTCGTCGATCGCGCGTAGAACAACAACGCACGTTCGCGCGTTTACATCTCGAGATTCGACGAAACTGGTAAGCCATAGTCGTATTTAGTGGAAGACGCGCTACGTATTTCGCGCAGCAACGGACAACAACTTGCGCCAGATGAAACAAAAGTAGAGAAATATTTGGGAAGCTACGTTCTGCGAGAGGCTTAAGACGAGACGAGGCGGGTGATTTCTTGATTTCTCCTTAGAAGGCAAATCGAATTGGAAAATGCTTGACCGCGGACACGCGTTTGGACGCGTGTACGTACGTCGTGGCGTGATTGCTTGCTTTTTAGCAATCTCATAATTCATTTTCCAATAAAACACATATTATATGCGTAGGATGCGTCGTACGATTCGTAAACGATACGAAATTCGGTCGATAGTAAAAATGTATCGATCGAGTAGGAAAAGTAGAAATCTTGAGCCACGTTGATCGACTCGAAAATAGAAAATAGAAAAATAGAACAGCGATAACGTCGTTATCGCGAGTATTATATTCGCAAATTTACCTTCCAATTTATGCCACCTTGTTCGATCACCGAACCTCGATGAACGAAATACAGGTAAGCGGGCCGTTTCTTTTTCTTTTTCTTTTCTTCTTTTAATTAAAATTATGCGCGAAGCGCGTATCAGACAACGGACAATAAAATAACAAAACCTGGAAGAAGAGCGTTGTCGATCTTGGCTCTCGGAGAGACTACTCGTTTGCAGCTTGTCCGAAAGAAAAGACATTTGGGAAATGACAAAACCGGACGATCGATCGTTTCCATGCGGCAGCTGTCGCTCTCGTGAAATGGAACAACGTCCGCCAGGAGAAGCTACGCGATCGCTGTTCCTCGCCGTTTCCGACACGTGGGGGGCCTCTGCCGCGGCTTTGCAAGGTCGATCGTTGAATCCATAATCGGACGTCGGTTATCGTTCGCACATGCCCAGCAAAATCAACAACTGCGTTCGCCTCTTTTCTAATCTAACAGCAATAATTGCGTAGCGGAGAAAACTGCGTTAAAAATTATTGTTATTCGCAATTAAGTATCGTAGTTCATCGTCCAAGGCTATTTAAATTGTTATATCATAGATACAGTCGTAGTTATCCAGCAATACGGCCAAATAATGCCGAATCATTGCGATTGTCATTTTAAGTGGAGTTAAAAATATCTCGTTACACGACCCTGAACATAACGTGTAGTATCACTGTGTCAGATGTGCGCGTGTTCTTTCCCGAGTTCTTACAGCGTATTATTACTTCTCGTTTTTATTTTTTATTTGCATTTAATTGGCAGACGAACGACAGTGTACAAACAACTAGTTCTTAGTTCCGCCTTATCCGTTTCATTTTGTACCAGGAAAGAATCGTGAAATTTATACGATTATCTCTCGACAGCCAGATCACAGTTCCCACTTGCTTTTCGAACGAGTCGACCGAAAGAATATTTGATTTTGGCGCGTTCCTCGTGGCTGACGAATATAATTGAAAATTACGAATTGTCATTTACGGTAAAAATTCGTTCATCGCACGATCGATAAACGGTAAACAGGAGATAAAATTATATCTCTAGGACTCGTCCAAGTAAGAAATAATTTCTTCCACGTTTGCACGTACGTAAAGCTGATATCCTATTCTAATACTTTCGTTTTGGCGATGAACGCAATTTAAGAAAAAATTAGATCGCCCGTGGCTGAAATACCAACGACGCTTTAAGGCGCGTTTCGAGGAAAAAGAACGAGCGGAATGCTCGTTCTTCCGTCGCTTTAGTAAAATTTCAAATTGCGTTTAGACCAAACCAGCAACAACGTATAGCGAGAGCGAAAGCGTTTGCTCGTGTTCGGTGTAAACCAGCGATTTTTATCTCTTTATATCTCGCGATACGCGTAAGTTCATTACTAAAATTTTATTTGATGCATCAAAAAAATCCATTTGCTACGAGGCAGGATATTCACCGTGGACGGTTATAATTATCTTTCTTTTATTTCCAGTTGTTTCTTGGATTAATCGTGAGATTTTTTAGATTCATAAAGGAAAGTGAACAGATATTAAACTACGTAGATACGCTGCTTGTAACTCTTTTCGAATTATGGCTCCAAGAGTGTAACTTTTTTAATTTTTATTCTTTATTTATTTACTTATCTGTTTTTGTTATTTATTTGTGTACTTATTTTCTTATTTGTGTATCTACTAAGAATGCACTACTACGTAACGTGGAATTCCTTTCGCGAGAAAGTATCGTAATAAATCCATAAATATAAAAATATTCTACTATTACGTATCTTCTAAAGACCGGTTAATTTATCTGATTTTTGGTAGAAGTCGCTTCGTTTTAACTGTCGATAGTTTTAGCGTCAATAGCACAATTATCGTAGCTCTTCTATCTGGAACGATAAGTGCGCAGTTTAAATATTACTAACTGGAGAAGAACTGAAGCAAAGCAAAGAAAATAAATAAATGGAGATAGTAGTAGAATCGTAGGTTCGATGCACACCCCCGGCCTTGACTAAATTAAAGAAATCAAACAGAAATAGAAAGAGCCAGATATGTGAAAATTATAATCGTAAGAAAAATTTCGGACGTAAACGCGAGTTTCGAGACTCGGTTTATTAATATTTTGCCGATATTTCCGACATCGATACGTATATCCTGCGTGTCGCTATAATACACGCCTCCTAAGTATAACGAGTATAGTAAAATACTACGAACCGCACGAGCGATACTTTCGAACGAAATTTGACTCGCAGAATTCGATATGAGAATGCTCTACCTAATTAGAACGTTGCCGAGTTGTATAATAATCGCAAATTAAAATGTATAATATCGTGAAAGCTAACCGGAACGAAAAGGCTAGATCGTGTGCACAGGCTTGTACTTAAATCTTGACCCGAAAATTAAATCGATACGTTGGTTTAATAAGGGAAAGCGAATCGAGAGCGAGTAGTAAGTATCGTTCGGCTGTGTATCTATTCCTGTTAAGAGGGAAATTGATTAATCATGTACAACGTTTAACGACGATTAACGAGGTTTAAGCAAGTTGTGCCGCGTCGAGTAACTGAAATTTCATACGCTTAATTATGAAACGTCTATGAACCGTTGCCGCGTACTGAACTTTAGCCGGTAGATTTCATTTGCAGTTACGCCAGACACGTTGCTATGTTTCATTAGGAGATTGTTGGCCCGAGATATATTCATTCTTCGAAGACGTAAAACGTATGCTTCGTAAAACTTGGATGCTTGGAAATATTCTTGTGGCGGCAACTCGACGACGGAAATTTCCGACGGCTTCGCGACACAAGCATAATGTCGTCAAAGCGTAAGGCCGACATGCTTAATGTACCATCGATATCCCTACGATCTTTCCGCCGAATATTCGCAAGAATGCGTACGCGGCAACGGTGGCGGACGTCTAACGAACGCGTTGTAACGCGCATCGAATTGCCGACACATCTGCAATAGCAGCGGAGATACGTTGAACCGAATATATTGGAATATATATGTAAAACTGTATTTACATTGGATTTGACAGCGATCAGTGTTGATACAAAGTAAGTCGGTTGATGTGCGCTGTATGCACGGCAGCAAATGAGGAGTAATATGCGCACATGCACAATGAGTGCATAGTGGAGATATCGAGGGGCAACGAAAGAAAAGAATCTGTCCAGAGATTTGAGGTGAAATAGTAGTTCGTCGCGACAGTGTTGCTGCTGCTGCTGATGTAGAACGTCGCTATAAAGCTACTAACTACTGCTTTCTTCTCATTTATGTGCCATGGAAGAAAAATCGGAGACTACGGGCGCGGGGATTCGAACCCGGGTCCCGAACGTTCCTAACCTAAGGCGCTAACCACTGCGCTACCGTCGTCCGGTAGAAGTTAGCGTCCAGTGGCGGTATTTGTTGTCGAATGCCGCCACAGATTTCTTTTTAATATTTGGAAGTAGTTTACGATCAATTCTCGTGGAGAATTACAAGTAAATTATTCTGGCGTGGTACTATAACGCGAATAATAAATGATTATCGTATGTTTGGTTCTAGCTGAACCTAATGTTGTTCAAAGATTCATTCGGTTTTGAACAGCGAAGTGCGAAGGGTCGAGTCTAACAGCGAAGCAAACATAGTCGAAAAGAGAGGATTGTTGATTGTTGATTGTTGCTTGTTGACTGTCGATTGTTAAATAAATTATATTGTTGAACGTGGAGAGTATTTCTTGGGCACGTTACATCTAACACCATCTCCATTCTAGTTACGATACTTGGTGAAATTGCTTTTGTATCGTTCGCTCGCTTTAAAACCTCCCTTCGTTTCTGTACTGTAAGTTTCTTTTAATCGATTTTAACGTTACACTGGCGGGTATCCGAACGAAAGGATATTCTCCGATAAAACCGATTCGCATAATTCGCTTTAATAACAGGTTCGGATCGGCGCAATCGTATCCACGCCCGAATCGGTAAAATTTCACTTTTCCGCTGTTCGAAACTAAGCGAAATCGAATTCGTTTCGAGCAGTCGGGGTTAATCAATGAACGCCTAACGGTCGACAGTTTCCTCTGTAACGTATACTGGCTTGTAAAACGACAGGATATTCAGCTAAACTGCAACGACGACGAATAAACGGAAATGAAAACGAAATTCTTTGTATTAGGTTGTCTGGAAAGTTTCTTTCGTTTTAGAAGGAAACGATAGATGCGAAACATTTTTATATTATATTTTATTACACGCGTCGATGTACTGCGCGTAATGCAAAACGGATCATACGATGTAAATTGTAGAATAGAAAAAATAATGGATCAAAAGAATATAAAACAAAAAATGTTGTGCGTCTATTGTTTCTTCCTTGCGAAACGAAAGAAACTTTTCGGCCAACCTAATACGTTTCCGCGGTGGAGGAGGAGCCTTTCGTTTTTGTACGATGAAAGTGTGATAGTTCCACAGCGGAGACTTTCTCGGATCTTCCAGATTTAATTAATCGACGTCTGTTTCCCAATTTTCTATCTATACATTTACGCGTTGCAGTACACGTAGGTTGATCTAAAACGCAGATTCGTATTGTTTATATAATTATCAATAATCGCATAATGACAAAATCCGCAATCGCTTAGTTGCCGACCCAATAGAAGAACCGAACTCGCCGTGGAAATTTTTCCACCCGATGACCCTTACGTTCCTCGTACGCATCTTATTGCGACGCGAAGAAAGAAGCACGTTCATCGAAATGCGACCTTCGTTCGTGAAAAAGTTGGTGTTCAGCGAAACTATTCGTGAGTCATCGTGACGTTGAACAGGTCGACGAAGAAAGAAAGGGTTTCGCGTCTTTGTCAATGTAAAGCAGAAGAAACGCAACTCGAGAAGTTCGATTCGCTTTGAAGAATGGAATCGCGAGAACAGAGTCTTTTAAAAATCTAAATCGTGCGATCGAGGATTTTCTCCGTTCGAAAATTTCCTCGGATCATAGATATCGTAAATATATGCTTATAATTGTTTACGATTTTTAGATTGAGTCGCAAGATTTCTAGATTTTAAGATATATTTTATATGGATATGTATGTGCGTGTATGTATCTGTACATCTTGAAATCCTATAAATTCTATAAACTCAAAATAAGCTCAGGAAGTTATCACCGTAATTGTATCGTTACAAATGAATTTAATCGCTCTGCTGTCTTAACGTATAATTAGAAAGACAAAAAGATATTCGTACCGACTGCTAATCGCGAACTAAACGTTTACGGATTATCGTAAGAAGAACGACGATGTAGTCCCTAGCGAGGAAACTTCCTTACCAACGAAAACACCAACGAACGAACGAACAAACAAACAAATAAGAAAAAGATGATGGATTCTCGATTTTTAAGATAAAGAATCGTTTGGCAGAAACGTTGGATAGCGGAAGAGGATCGTCTAGAAAGATGGATCTTGGAACCTAACGGAAAGGATGGATCTCGGCGAAGAATCGAATCGGAATAGAACATCCTTGGAAAGAAGGAGAATGACGAGGAACCGGAGGACGCAGCGACGAACGGTGCTGTTCGATTCTCCGCTCACGAGTGACTTATTTTTAATCGAATCGCCGCTATGCCTTCGGAAAGAGAAAACGTGCTCCGTGGAAAATTAAATTCTATTGCTTCCTGTTGACTGACGAAGCACGAGGCGAGAGTTCGAATGCCATCGACCGAAATAGATCATCATTAAAACAGAAGCCAGTGCAGGTTTTCTCGTTCCTGTTGGTCGACCGCCACCCACGGCGACTCCCAACCAAAACTAACCGTCTTCTAGGTTTACGAACTGGTTTCGACCCAGCCACTCTCTCTCTCTCTCTCTCGTTCTCCCTTCCTTCGTCTTTTCACGTTCTATTTTTTCCTCTCCGCCCCCTTTCTCTATTCTCCCTTTTTCCTTTTCCCCCTTCGTTTCTCTTTGTGCTTCCTGTATTCTTCCTCTCTGCTCTCGACAGCACCGACAAAGTGCACACGTGACGCGCGAGAATTAAATCGAACGCGTTTACGAGAGCTCGTAAAATCCGAACCACGGGAAACCGAGCGACGAACGGTTTGTTCTGCTCCACGAACGAGAGGGAGAGCGCTGTTTCTCGAGAAATACATCGGCAAGTTCGGATTTCTCGTGGTCGGTTCGCCAGCCTCGATACTCCTACGAGAAGATGATCGAACGTAGAGGGATGTGCGCGAGCCAAGGGTCGCGAACGCTTCGTACCGATGGAAATTTTTCAGTGACTTTCGTCCGCAGATTCGTCGTTTACTTCGACGCTTTACGGTCGGCGTATTTTTCTGCTCGCATTGCCAATTACACGAAACATTAAATATTTACGGTTCGAGAAGGAATTTTTTTAACGTCCGACCGTAAACGAGTAAATTAGTTCGCTTACCTTCGATAGCTCTATTCGAGACGAAAACTTCTCGATATTTTTTCTGCGAGATACCGTAACGTTATAACGTTATAACGTCGGATAATCAAAAGTCGAGCAACGTAGGGCGCTACTTTATCGAAGAACGATCAACCGTGTAATCGATGATTCCGATCCGATTTCCTAAAAACGACAAGGTGTTACACGAAATGTTTCGCGCGACCAATTACGATATCGATCGAACGTATGTTACTGGAAGCGCGTCGCTGTCAGATAACAGATACTACGTCTTATATCCGGCATCCGGTCAGTCGCTGCTTCGTCACGTTTTTACTTATAATTGGTAGTAGGTAGCAGTCGCTGGAAGGTAACGAAACTGTAGCTGGATAAAGCGTAAGACGTCGAGGCTAGTATTACATCTTGGATTTCTGCATCTAGTTACAAGTTGCACGCGTTTATCGTGATCGCAGGCAAACCGGCTGCTCTCAAATGAGAATTAACCGCGATACGTTCGACGTGCGTTCGATTGATACGTTTCCAGTAATACGCGAGTCTTCGAACGATTGTTTTATATAGCGATAATTACACGCTTAACTATTACCTTCCTTATCGGTTCGCTATCGATAAATAACGAAGGAACGTGATTTATTTGAAAACGCGACGACGCGATGATGTCGGTATTACAAATTGCTTCATAGTGTTGAGGTAAATATCGATCTTTTAGAAGCAGTCCCTGTTTACGAGCGGAGAGTTACGATCAGTTACGTGTAGCGTAGCATTTTTACTTGGAAAATTGTTTAATCGAAATTCCGGGAATCGACTGTCGCTGTTGAAAGATCGTTTGGTTCCAACTTTAACCGTAAATTGACGAAACACGACGTTACGTCCGAGTGCCAGGGAACGAAACGAAGCATCGGATACGTAACTTACGACTTTCGAGTTCTACTTACATCCGTGTAAATTTTATAAAATATAGGATCGATGGTGTAACGTTATTGAGGGTTATTAATCAATTACGGTTTCTCTAAAACGAAGGCTCTGGCGCACGTAAATCCGATGCAACGATAAAAATCGTTGAATTATTCCATCGCTATTATCGAACAAAAGTATCGGCGGTGGTCGCGCAGATCGTTCGCGATCGATCAGAATCGAAGCGTTACGAGAGAGAGAGAGAGAGAGATCACGTATCTCGCATTATTCTCGTTAAATTAGTGCTTAAAATAGATTCAATACCACTTCGCAACGTATAATAGGCCGGATCTTTATGGAGACTAACGACGGACGATGTATGGTGACTTATCAAAGATAATCTGAACACGCGCACATCGCTGCGATAGAAGCCACAAAAGGGGGCAAAATTGCTACGCCGCAACAAAGAGATGATCTCTTATCAAAAAATGATTCTGCCTCGTTGTGCAACTCGTATCGTTCCTCCCGATATCAAACCCATTCCCATGAACGATTCTCTATTACGTTCAACGATCGCCGTCGCTTTTATTAAACGAACGTGCGTTCGCTACGATTTTCAACCTAGTAATTTCGTTAATTTTAATTACAAAATCGTGAAATCGATTATACGAGTAAACCAACGTGCTACAAAACAAAATTATCCGCGTTCTCGCGTCTATTACTTAATTTTACGGATCGTTAACGATTCGACTGTCCAACGATGATATCCTTGGATCGGTCGTTGGCGTAGGGACAGACGATAAGCATAATTAAAGTGTCAAACATCGACGGAGTCGTTACTTTTACGTAACGCGACATCTCGATGTAGAAATTCTTCGTTTCCTTCGCGTCAGCGTGTTAACGCATCTTATCTCTCTTGCTTATCGCTGATGATTTTCCAATGTGTAACGAATTACAATTCTTGCAACGCCAGGCGCTCCAATAATCGATAAAATTCGAAACGTTCGATATTTATAGAACGGAGGAAATTTTATTAACACGGCTGCACGAACGAAAAGTGGAAAGCGACGGTAGGACGAATGGAAGAGAGAATGGACAAAATTCTCGCAAATATCGATTCCTAAATAGGTTTGCTGGCGTCAGTCTGCAACTTGGCTGTGTTGCGCGTAAAAGAGATCGTTTAGGAAGGGCCTTTACCTTTTCCTTCAAAGATCGTTCTAACGCCCCTGATGTCAACGAGCATTCGAGCCGAAGAAACAGACTGAGGAGGAGGAGGAGGGGGAGGGGGAGGGGGAGCAGCAGCAGCAGGAAAAGAAGAAGAGGAAAAAGAAGAAATCGTTGCCCCTTTTTTTTCTACCGTTTGCTTGCTATCTTTTACGTTATGTAACCGTGAACACTGTCTCCTCCTTCGTGTCCTCGGTCACCACCTACGAGTCGCGCCTCTCAAAAGGTAGAAATGCAGCGTGCGCGCGCGCGCATACGAAACGACATCCAGCCATCGACTTAACGATTCTTCTTCTACTTCTTCTTATTGCCGGTGCAACAACACCGGTACACTGCCCCTCGAAAGTATAGCAGCGTGTAATATAAAGTTCGTCTTTCGTGTCGCGCAAGGGAAAAATTACGAATATGAAAATTATACAGGGCGGTTGGTAACCGGTGGTACAAGCGGAAAGAGGGTGATTCTACGCGAAAAAAGCAGTGGAAAATATAGAATAACATTTTTTCGTTCGAGGCTTTGTTTTCGAGAAAATCGACTTTGAATTTCCGCTCGGTACGCGCGCACTTTGTCCCGTCTCGTTATAACGGATCTCGCTGTAGATCGTTGTCTCGATGGGAAAATTAAAAAAAGAGATTTTTATCCTATATTTTCGACTTCTTCTTTCGCGTAGAATCATCCCCTTTTCGTTTGTACCACCAGTTACCAATCACCCTGTATTATTTCAGCAATGAAACTTACGTAGCGCGTTAAGTTACGCGTTTCCGCTTCTCCATTATTTTATCGTAAATTTGTCAATTCGTTCGTATCACGCGCGCCTTACGACGTAAAATACCAAATATAGTACAATTTATCGGAGACGTGTCGCGATAAAATACCATCGCAGAAAATTCCAAAGAATTAATTATGTCGTTAGATTTGTTCGGATCGGTCAATTTCTAATATACCGAAGACCGCTTGGAATGAGGAAAAAAAAAGACCGACTAATGAAAAATTATATATGTCGACGATCATGGCCTCTCGATTTGAACCTCGAACCTTGGTTGACCAAAAATAAGCTTTCTTTTCTATCCTCTCGTATCCGTAAGCACACGTATGGTGGTTGTATCAAGTAAAAATCTTAGCGGCGATGAAAAATGAAAAAGAGAGGTTTCGAGCGATGATGTCATAACACCGAAAGAACCGGCCTTGAATGGCCAATTTATTCGCTATATAGAATAATAGCCGGATCTGTAAATCTATCAAATTCTTCTCGTAACGTATCTACGAAAGTTATTCGAAAAGAAAAACCATGGAAGATCGTTTAGCTGAACTGGAGTTTGCAACGAACGGAGGTGCAAGTTTACCTGTACCGTATTAATCCTGATCTTTTAACGCGAGCCTCGGAGGAACGCGTACAATCGATATCCCTTCGATCCTTTCGAAACGAATCAACTTACGTATGCGTTGTCCATGAAATAAGCGTCGTACACTCGGTTTATTCCGACTGTAACATGTATCGGCAATGTTCGGATGGAAAATAGTAAAATCGATCGACCGTTTCGTAATTTCTAGACAATTCGATTAAACGAAATCGGTTTGCCTCTTAACCACGCGACTCGAAAATAACAGAATCGTTTTATCTCCGCGTTTCGTCCGTTTTAATTCGAACGTATCGTTCCCCGTGACTCTACACTCTACCCTAATAACTTCCTTTTTTCGTACGTAATCAACTGCAATTACCACTTACTATTTTGGAATAGCGCGCCGCTAATACGCGGCCGTGGGGACCAGGATGTTACGCGTATCGTCGAAACCAACTCCTCGTTTGTCAGCGCACTCGTACTTCGTGTTACAAAGTTTGCGTTTACGCGAATAAACCATTGTCATTTCGTTCCATCGGAATACTCCGAGGTGGAGACGATAGTTGCGGGTGATAGCGCTACTGCTGGTGTAGAGGCCGAGATACGTTCTTCCGCTGGTGTACACGTCGCTGTTGGAGTGTACTGCTGCTTTTCTTCTAATTTAGATGCGGTGGAAGGAAAAATCGGACGGCGGTCGCCGGGATTTGAAACCCGGGTCCCGAACGTGCGTAACCTAAGGTGCTGCCGTCGTCCGACAATGATTGCCGTCGAATGTCGCCACAACTCGATACAACTACACAGCAATAGAAATTACCATACGCACGTATGTTCGACGTTTCGTTGAAATATGTTAACAAATCTCGAGTACATACAGGCAACTGGGACGTGAGCGTAAGCGCGAAATTAAAGCAGTATCGAGTTATGATCGCGATAATTTTGCAAGACGAATGGAACATCGAAGTAGCGGTTTAATAAAACGATGTTCTTCGTCCTTGTGGAAATCACAATCTGGTCGAACGTCTTTCTAAAAGTAAAATACATATAGGTAGAGTACGTTTAGGAAATCCTATGAATCGCGTGGGACGAACAAGGAGCAACTGACGCGCGTAACGATCGGATATAGATCAGGAATAATCAAATATTCCGAATAAATTGAATAAATATTCTGCCAAAACGAGAGGTACCAATCGGTGCGTCGCGATGCGCGGATCCTCTCCGTTTCGGTTCTCCTGTCGTCGAAGGATTACTCGTTTGCAGGACAGAACGCTGTCCGACACCGTGAAACGACGTACAAATCGTCCTATCCTGGGCAAAAGAAAGCTATGTCAGTGCTGCCGTGTTATATCCAAAAAATGAATTCAAGAGAGAAAAATCATAAAATTCCATTTCCCATGGATTACGTGTATAAAAGGATGAAAAAAAGAAAAAAAAAAAAAAGAACGAACGAACGAAACGATTAATCTTTGGCTGGCGTTATTGGATCGTAATAAATGACCTATCGTAATACTTGGAGTGTGATCGCTTAATTTTAGAATTCCCCGTTACAATTTGTATTTCGTATTTTACGCGATAAAGCGATTATTCATCTGGCGATATACAAAATACAAATTGACAGGAACCACTCGTATTTATAATAAATACATACGCGGTAGATAACTTTAGCAGCTGCGATTAGACAGGTACTAGATAAATCTCGCGAATTCGTTCTCTTCCATTTGGATAACCGTTAAAAAATGATCCTGACTATAGTAGGATAGTATCGATCGAGAAACACGCAGCACGGCATATTCATTGGTAATTAAACGTTCTTCTCGATACTCTACCATACATCAATTATAATGTGTCAGCTGAAAGAGGGGAAAAAAAAAAGATAAACGAGATGGAAATTTTCTTTTTTATATCGACGAAGGTACGCGTCGAAAGTAGAAAAGTATTTCTTTTTTTCTTCGGTGCTAATAATTAAATCGAACGCGAGAAGCGAAGTAAAGTTAGAAAGAGAAGGAAAAGTTCGATTCGAGCAGTGTCATGCTTACGACGCAAAAACGAAAAAACGAAGAGAAAAAAGAAAGAAAGAAAGAAAACAATAGCATCCTCGTATTTCGATAAGTGCAGCAGAAAATATGTATTAGCAACAGGTGAATGTTAAACCGCCAAGAAATCGCATTTTTTCTGTTCCGATGAATCATCCTCGATGCTTTAAAATTTCGAAACGCTGGCCAGAACGTTGAATCGCTTTCTCGAAACTCCGTTGTTACCAGCATAGTAAGGTCGAAATTAATCCGGATGAATGAACGTTTTAGATGCAGGCTGACTTCTCGCGATAACCAGAATTTCGATTAGTTTCAAAATATTAATTTAATATATTCATTTCAAGAATGAACAGCACATCAAACAATGTCTACTTTAATTCTACGACGAATCCTCTTATAACGTTTGTACCTACTGTGTACAGGTTGGTTGGTAACCGGTGGTACAAGCGGAAAAGGGGGTGATTCTACGCGAAAAAACAAGTGGAAAATATAGAATAACAATTTTTCGTTCGAGGCTTTGTTTTCGAGAAAATCGACTTTGAATTTTCGCTCGGTACGCGTGCACTTTGTCGCGTCTCGTTATAACGGATCTCGCTGTAGATCGTTGTCTCGATGGAAAAATTAAAAAAAAAAAAATTTTTATTCTATATTTTCGCTTGTACCACCAGTTACCAACTA